TATAATGATTCTCTCATGAAATATTAACGAAATTTATTTAACTTCGAAAATTTTAAAAATCTTTTCTTTTTTAAAAGAAACTTTTCTTTTAAATTTTCGAAACTAAATAAATTTCATTAATATTTTATAAGTCATTATATACGATTTTTTATGTCTTTTATATATATATATATATAATAAATTCATAATGTAATGACATTGAAGATCCGCTTATAATGCACGCGACATTAAATCCGCTTAGAGAACACGTAAGAACTAATTAGTTGCGCGAATGATTAGCTGCGACAACGAACGCAAAGGCGGAGAATCGAGTGAAGCATTTGCGATTTCAGTGGAGTTCCGAAGAGTCTCAAAGAGCTTCTAGAGACGATTACAGAAAGAGAGAGAGAGAGAGAGAGAGAGAGAGAGAGAGAGAGAGAGAGAGAGAATGGCACCAAGATTGTAAATAGACGAACAGAGACGTTCCCATCTACTGTAACTTGTATTTTCACCCTTCGGCGTTCCGTAAAATCAAGCAATCCGTTAGAGACGATCCACGCTCTTGATGGCTTACAAAATAGCGAAACAATGCCGACAAACGTCGAAACTCCATTACAGCTTTTTGCAGAGGCAAGCAGGCGAGAGAGTAGATACATACGAGCAGAATTTCTCCGATATATATTATATACGAACTTTTGTACGCGATTGTGCATTCTCGTCGTGTTTCAACTTCTGGAATTAGCCCGGTCGAGAAACCTTAAAATTACCAAACGATTTTATAATGATTAAGCGTCGCTTAGGTGATAAAGAAATTTATAATGAATAATTACACAATTAAATCAGATCTACTTGTGATTTCCGTTTTATTAGATTATATTCATAAGAGCCGATTTATCGACATTTCTTATCCTGTATAATCCATGCGATTTAACCGCGACGCTATCAATCAATAAAATGGTTAGCTGCTTCGATCAAAGTTCAACAAAAGCACCAATAGGAAGGAAAAGTTCTCCGAGTTTTGTCGATTTTCGGAAATTGATTCGCGATTCGAAATGTGACGCGCCATAGTCAGAATTAGCGACGACATGGAGAGCGAGATTTACGTCCGCAGAGTTCCGGCAATAAGAAGTTATTCCGTATATCTTGTGAGATTTATCGTGACGACTCTTTCTCGCGGGATATGAAGTTTCGGCGGAAGTTTCATCCGTACCTGAATTCGAAAATTATGCCTGTATATCATAAAGGTAATCGTATCTCGCCCGTTTTATTTCACACCAAATCAATTTTATTTGAATATGCACGAGTAAAATATAAATCAGCAATTACGATTAATAAATACACTCAAATTAAATAATTCAATTTTTGTTCAACAAAAATATCAAGCTTTCCTAACCTCGATATTTTGCACCAAGATAAATTTATGATTATTGAATTAGATGCAGATATTACGTTTCTTGTTATTCGAGATATTGACATTTGAATCCGATTTTAAAATCTAAATATTACCGCATCCGGACCAGAATATTTGTGTCTAATTATATAAGGAGATTCAGATAGTCACAAAAATACAAGCAGTAAAAACATTATTTATACAGAAGCGTCGATTTAATGCTGACGATATTGTAATATAATATAATGATATGAGCTACTTTCGATATAGGCTACATTATTTAAGTCAATTAACATGATAATTCCTTTTACACCTCGCGATTAATATTGAGATGTCGTTGAAGTAGAGAAGTACAGAAGTAGGACGACTGGAATTCTTCATAGAAACACGTTTGCCCGGTTGAATTTATATTTTATCGCCGGCACGCGAATCTGCCGCAAAAATTCTCTAACAACTAAATTACCCCGTCGGGAGAAATATTTCTGCGAGCTGTGGAGCCCTTCGTGCCCAGCGTTGTGAAATTTTCCGGGGACTCTCAAAAGCGAAAACAGCGTTCGTGCAGGAATCCGAACATGGTGATGCCAAACATACTGTAAAAGCGTAAAAAAAGGGGGGGAAAAACGAACTGAGCGAGGCGTTACATTAATTCGCATTTTTGGTGACGAACCCCGCGGTTTTACTCGTTCCAAGTGACACACGTGCTCTTTTTACTCTCATTTTTTGCGTACCCTTTGAAAATATTTCGCTGAAAAAAAATTGGACAGATTCGCCGCTTTGACAGGCTCCGATTACCTTAAAAATATAATAAACGACAAGCGCTTTGTGCCTGCATGATGAATTGATCAACTTGTGGGACCGGTCAAAAAATTGGCTTTTACTGTTAAAAAAAAAAAAAAAAAAAAATAGTCTTTCTGAAAAGTCTTTCGCATGATATTCGATCTACAGGATGACTGCGATGCGTAATAAATAATATTTCGAGTTGGCAATTAACAATGCATTAAACCGATAAGAGATTTAAGTGATAATCCATCCATCTCCCTTTTTCATATCTCGGGATAAGAAAGTGAGTGCATTACTGTCGATCGCCTCCGGTTTTTTGCTATTTGGCTGTTCCCTAATCATACTGATGGATAGAGTCTCTTAGAAAGCTGATAGGGATTAAACTGACTAAAGACTTGCGCCACTCGCGTCGCTCTAATTCACATTTAAAATCACTGTAATTCACGCGATAATTTATACTCTCGCGGAAATCAAGATAAAAGCATTTTATGCGAATATTTCGTATTAAACCTGGTGCACGATACCGCCATTCCCTTTGATATGAATTTCATTCAATTGTACGATGATATTTGTCGATAACGATTAATAAGCTGAAAGAATAATGTGACCAACATTCTCATGAAAGAATATTTTACGAATAATGATCAAATTACGTATACGCTTTTCCATTTACTTCCTATTTTAACATTTTAACAATGCGATTGAAATATATATCAGCGATACACGATCGAATACGTTCTATTACATAAATGCTTCCCCCCCCCCCCCAAGGAAGACAAAAAGAGAGAATTGTGAAACTAACTACCACACTGATTCATCTTTAAATCTTTCGTTAGATAGAATTTTATTCGCCTTAGTTTCGTTTAAAAGTAGAGTTAATCGCATTTCTCAGTCACTTCGATATGAAGGAAATCGAGAAAAGGGATATACATTACTATGTAGGGCTGACATTTTATCTGAATGCTGCACTCCTGGCCGCACGGACAATTAGAAAGTACGCAAGCGAGAAATCAAACCGCTTATTTCGTCTACCCGTGCCATAACCAGAGATTGTCAGAGACAGGCGGAAATCGTCATTGTAATTCGTCTGGCAATTCGTAACTAATTCCGCAAAATCGCCATAAGCACAAAGAGCTACGGCAATGTTCCGACGAGAGAGAGTTCTCTCTTCCCTGACGAAATCTCGTTTACTATGGCAGAGACGGTCACTGTACAGCGCGCTAAATAAACGCGTTGAACCCCGTGTAGTCGAAGTGAGCCGATAATTAGACCGCACTCAGACAGATGCGGTAATTATTTACTTGTTTACGTTATATTATTCTCGTTGTAGTTAGACATCGCGAATTTTCCCCAATTATTCGTACTCAAAATAAAAAAATTCAAATTCATCAAGAAATTGCAATAATATTGTTCCATTGGTAAAATCCATTAATCGAGTAATTAAAATGATGATCTCTTTTTTGTTCGTTGCAAGATGAATTAGAACTTACTCGTATATGAATTGCGAAAACCCAGCGAAATTGGACATCGATTAAACTCACAAATTTCCGGTCAGACGAAAGAGAGAGAGAGAGAGGGGGGGGAGGGAGGGCGCTATTGATATATCTATTTGCACGAAAGCGAACCTGATAGATTTATCCTATCAAACGGAAACGATATATATATTTGATAAACTAACACGGAAGATGGAGCGATATCCAATAAACCTCAAGAACGTTCGGCAATTCGGCTGTCATGGAGAACGATAAGATATATCTCGTTTCTTTTGTAAAATAGTCATGTAAAGGCAATCGTGATAAAATATTGATAAAATAAATCTTTCCAAATATACGTCACGCACAATTCTAAAAACTATACGGGCGCATTTGTTATTCGCAAATGAAAATTGGATGTTCGACCGACAAAAGAAGTCGTTTCAGGGACAAAACCGAGATGTAACTTATATGCTACATGAGGTTTAGAGTTAATAAAGTCAACGAGATAATGCTGTCGTAAGGAATAAGAACGTGCTCGTACGATTCCGAGCACGAAGTCAGTCCAACTGGCATCAGTAATTTCCTCGTTCGCTTGGTTCGCTCGACAGATGTATGCACAGTCGTCTGCAGTGAGAAGGCGGCGCAATATTGAGGTTTACAGCCTCGTCAAGTATTTACTTAGGCCGAGCTAG